GTATAATTCAATATATGATTGAAAATTAATTAGTTCAAAAATATAATGTATTCCGATATTTCTTTTGACACCTAGAATTATCATGTAATAAATCGTAGATAGAACAATATTTGAATGTCAGGGATCTTTATAAGAGATAATTGTATCAATATGCGTATTTTGTGTGAATTGTTCTTCACGTAAAGACTTTTCCTTTTGCAGAAATTATTATTTACATTATTTCGAACAAGATTTATTTTCACGCAAGCGCATTTCATCATAATAAGTCAGTGTGAAGTATTTAAACGATTGAGAATAGAATTTTGTATCGGACAAACTTTTTCAGGTCACAGTTGAGGGTCATATCCATACACCGTTAAAACGAATTACAAGGCATTGTTACGAACGACGATTATTCCGACGGTTGAAGCGTTATCATGTGTGCAAGCACAGACTGGGAACGTGCAGCTGCGCGCCGACGACCGACGAAACTTTCGCAAGCTGAGCACGACCGGAACACGGCGAATCATTAGTGCGGTTCGCGAAGCTTTTTTAATTAGCGACGATAGAGAGAGAACGGCGAAAAATCCGCGCAGCACAATTGGACTGGGTGTCCCACCGCTCCAATTAGCTCTTGGAGCCTTTAAAACAGACCCGAAATGGCGATCAATAGATCGTGCGCGAGAAAGTAGAATATACGCGACGTAAAGCTGTAACGAGCTACGAGCCGGTCAATCATGCCCAAGCTTCGACGCCAGGTAAGAATCGGACAATCATTGAAGAAACATCAAGGACGGCTTTTTATACATCATTCACTATGACAAACCATCAAGAGGGGATTCGAGCAAGGTGTGCTAAGAAAGATACTTTTAATTTGCAGCGAAAGAGCGAGTGGGTGGGATTATAAAGCGACCGTTCTTCTCACGAAACCGACGGCGACTTGATCGGCCCGAAATTAGGAAGGGTCAACAAACGCTCGCGAATCGATGCTTGTGACGTAAATACGTTGCTATTTTCCCTCGCGACCTTGAACATAAACTTGAAGACTGCGACTCGACCTGTATTAAGCGAGCTTGAATGTACATAGTCTTTTTTTAAAAATGCGTTCGGCAACTTTTTCACGTCCATAATAACGTTTTTTTCTTCATAAGTAAATTTTGCAGAAGTGAGAAATATTTCACCGGTCGATAAAAATATTTAGGAGTTTTCGTAGGAAAGACAGAACTTTTCAAATGTTAGCACATTACGAGACTTTTCAACTTTGAACAAAGTTGAAGTCGAAAGTCCTCATATTTCTATAGGTAGTGAGAACCTCTTCAAGTGCTTAAATTGGACACGGTCATTAGTTACATAAAAGTTTAAGTAATTGAGATATTGAAACTTTTCATAAAAAAAAAAAAGAAAGATATCCCTTGGTTGATTCATGAGACAACTAGTTGAAAGCACGTAGTACACAATTAAATAAATTAAATAGACGTAGCAATTATTTTTATAAAAGCAAGCTTAATTGAAGCACACACAAAACAAAACGATCTTATCTCTGTCACACAGCCTCATCTTATAATCGACAATTATATAACACGTGGGCCATAAATTTCAAATAAGATTATCGTACCGCAAAGTAATGACGCTTTAATAAAAAAAAAAAAAACTTTTTTAATTTATATATTCCACGGATGACGGAGGATTATGCTCGTCACACGTTAATAACATCGAGGCGACACCGCTCTTTTTAGACAATTATTTTTGTCATAAAGAACAGACCTTTAGTTGATCTTTGTATGACACGGTCAACTGTCAATTACATGGTCAACGACTAAGCCTGCGGTCACCCTCGGCGTTAACGCATCCCCGAGCGTGGACGCGGGGAATCGCGAGTGGGTGTCTCACGAGGGGTTCGTAAGCAAGGAGGGATGGCGGATGGTTGAGTTCTGGTGGGGATGGAATAAAATCTCCGAGAGTCTACGGGGAGGCAGTCTAGGCTAGTCAGTCGACCGAGCGACGCGGATGCCGACGGTCGATCGTCGTTTCTGATTTCTATCTGCATCAGCTCTTCCGAGCTTCATAAAAAAAACATTCGTAAGGGAATAGAATCAAGAGAAGGGAAACGGGATTAGAGTGATGACGCGTACGTAGAAGAGCCGTTGCCGGGTTGCAATGCTGCAAAAACTCGCGGAAGCAAATCCATGAACAGCGCGCGTATCCCGATCAGCTCCCATCCTTTGTGTCACGATCGTCAAAAGAAAAACCGGCCGCTCTTACGTGTCCATTAACATCCGTGGCGAAAGGGATATTTCGTTTTGGCTTGAAGGATTCTCTGGCTATTAAACAGTTGAGAAAGAGAAAGAGAAAAACGGACAAATATAAAAAGGAAAAGCTCCTCCAGAAGGTCGTTATCCTTATCCGATGTAACGTGTAAGTAAAAGCGTCGCAATCCGATGAGAAGATCTTGTCTGCATGTGTCTGCACGTCACTCTTCATCATGTTCGTTTTTTCCGGACCGAAAAAGGGGAACGAACGTGTCCACGTGTATGTGTCACGTTTGTTTACGAATCGGTTGCATCACAAGCGCGATCATCTTATTACCCGTCCAACAATTTAAATTCTTTAATGCTACTTCCTCGAAATTCAATTGCGCAAACTAAGTCAATTATTATTTTTCTTTTGTTCTTATCAATTAAAAATGTTGTTCGAATTTTTTTCTCTTTTAAATCTCGCAAATTTGAAGTGTTTTTGATAACCCTTCAATGTGAAAATATTTGATTGTTTTCCAAAGGCAGTTTTATTGTATTTGCTTCTCCCTTTTTGTCAGTGATAGTCACTTGATCCTACGTGCAACATCCCGAAAAGCTAAAAGCTCCGAATAAGAGCTTTCTCTCGCAGCATGTGAACGAAACGAGGGTCTTCTTCGTTCCAGAGCCGGATTTGTGAACGCGTGAATGAGAAGATCAAATCCAATATTTGCATGAAGGTGTAAATATCTCGCTATTTTCTTTTTTTTTTTTTTTTTAATTGTGTTCGATATAAAACCCCCGTGCCCAAATACACATTATTTCGGATGCAGTCGATATTATCACGACGTGATAATTAAATACGACGTTACCGAGACATTGTTATCGTCAACCGACTATTCACGCAGTGAATGGATCTATATCATGTCATTCTCTTGATTGACCGCTAACGATTCTTCCTGTGCAAATGCTTGCGCAGTATAAACGCACATAAATAAAATTATTTTAATAATGTGAAATACGTTATACACATAAATGTGTGTAATATATTTCATTATATTAAATATAATGCAATTAACTCTTTTTGATAAAAACGCTCTGTAGAATAAAATGCATTAAGTATATAAAATTATTACTTTGGCGCTTCACTATTTTACATCCTTGTTCACAGTTACTTGTTTTGTAAGCTTCCTTTTATTTGCTTATTTTTAAAGATAATGAGCAACGCACAGTTAATTGACTAAAGCTTGCATAATTTTTAGCCAACAATGTTATTATTGTCGGTGGAAAATGCGCATTATCAATTTTCTCCGCGAACAAGGTGCTTTTACTGTTAAAACAGCTTCGCTGTCTCTTGCGTTACGCCAAAATGCGTTAAATTGCCCGGAAAATTTCGCTGCATTCTCTCCCATTTTCCGTGCGCAACTGTATTTCACTTAATCTTTAATTAAGTTAAAACTTTGATGACACGCATTATGTAATATTATCGTATAATTTATATTTTTATAATTAAAGTTAAATTTTTGTTCCATATTAAGTTTTAGCTTTACGTATGCAATTTGATTGAAATTATTATACCCGAGAATATCACACTCGTTTGATTTGTTCGTTGAACCGGGTCACATTTTAAGATACTTCACTTCTACGCTAATTATTTATTAAGGTATCCGCGTAACTGTGCCGACATTTATCCCGTTAGCAAACTTATAAGTCTGACGTCTGATTAAGGATAAAATTTCAAAAACGATGAAAAGGGTGAAAAAGAAAACAGGATTGTGTTAAATCGCGAATGAAATTTGTTTTGACAGACGTGAAATGATATGCAAATTTCTTGGGCATATTTTATAGAAAGTGTCGACATTACATCGGCATCATTAAGCAACAATCATTTTTTACGATTTAATTTTCAACATCAATCAAGTATCACTGTTAAAATGTTTGTGCTCCTAATTATTCCGTCTCGGATTTAATAAGTCTTATCTCGAACTGAACGCTTGACTCGTTACTCCGTAATGTCCGACTAGCTATTGTCTCTAATCACTCGATCTTTCGCATAATGTTCCGAGAAAAAAAAGCCACACTGTTTTGTTCCAAAATTTTTGGCAAAAAACAAAATCCAAAACACATATTTAAGTTTTACTTCTATAATTATTTTGCTTACGTAATTAACTTGACGGTAACTCGTGTCAGAACTTCTCACACTCTCTCAGAAATCCATTATTCCCGACTATATATGTGCGCGGAGAATATAATTCTCTCAATGAACACTGTAATCTCGGTTACGCAACGTTATTATATGGTGGTGACGAGTTGCGAAGGAACGCAACAAAGTAACGGTGTGTAATCCTGCTCATTCAATTTCAAATCGATTTCGATCTTTGTCGACATATTGACATAGGTGCGCTCAATTACCTTCTGCATCAGTCAATTATACTCTCGTCGACTTGGCCAACACAATATCGCGTGGGCGTCATACATCGTTCGTTATGTTGTTATTATATATATCGAGCACAAGACATATTATATATATATATATATATATATATATATACACGTGTATTGTGGACTTGTGGACAATCGCATGACTCCCTCTCTCGAATGTTTATTTTTGTAGAAAATCTTGGCAACTATTGCTTGTCGAATCCCGTACAATCGAAGATCGAAGATATGTCTTGAGAACTTTTTCTTCGTCCACAAAATCATTTGGTGACCTATTTGTGGAAATACTCTGTTTGACTGTTATTAAAAACGAAAATCTGACATTGAAAGTTATATCATACTCTTTAGTTACATGTTTAGAATTATTATATTTTTTGGCTAAAAAATTTTAATTTAAGTTTTTTTAAACACTATATTTGCTCTTTTCACTATAATATTTACAATTAATTTGTAAAATTTTTTTTTTAATATTTCGGACTTAAAATATCTGGACGTAAAAAAAATATCTATCTAAAAAATTAAAAATCCCGATAGTTAATGGAACTGTGCAATTCACGTCATATTCTTGAGAGAACGGTGTGAGTTCGGTCAACTGTCAATGCGCCACGGAAGAAGTGAATTTCCAAGTATCTTTAAGAAAGTGCTTGTTCTCGCTTCAGCCAAATAAGATGCTTGAGAAAATCGATAGGCGCGGTTTCGTCAAGGACAGTTTCGCGTACTTTCGTACCATCTCCCCTGGCGCGTGTTTCATCAACGAGGTCGTGTAGAATAGCACGTACAACTTCCTAATGAACTGTAATAAGAATTGGCCATGCAAAGAGTTCTAGGCGATTAAATCTCATTACAGCTCATTACGCTTCACGAGACGGACACAATCAATGTTATTAACGTGACACGCAAAAGAGGATATGTAACATTGTTCCGGACGCATCAACGCGCACGTGGTTTTTTACGATTGATCCAGATTTTTCACAAGCACATTCCTTGTGACAATAACCTTTTCTTTAATATACACACAAAATTTGTTTCCAGCTGTACGTACAAGTTTCATTCGTTAAGAGTCAAGGGAACAAATTCAATTTTGGTGAAACAAAACAAACAATTGCGACTCGTCAGGTTTCTGTGGTTACGTAATAAAGAGCATAACGCAGTAAAGATTATATATATATATATCTATACAACAGTCGACTGGTTGTGGCAGTTATGTAGAGTCGTCCTAAATCGATAGAGCCCCAGAAGCGAGAGCACAGTCGGTAGAACACACACACACACATCCACACGAAAACACACATAGAGTAGATGCGATGTACGTATAGAGACCTGTGTTCTCTTTTTTTTTTTTTTATGTATCTACACTGGCTTTACGCGATCCTTTTTTCCTTGCATCGTTCATTTGTTTTACTTTCTCAAACGAATTTTCCTATTACTGTCATCTCGCCACAATCAACCTATTAGTTTCGCTGGTCCTCTCTTTCACCAGAAAAAATATACAATAAATGGATAAATGTAAGTTACGATACATATGGGAAAAAAAATATCCGAAATCTATGATGGTGGAACAACGTTGATGCTTATTAAAATTACAGCTCTGTACGCACCGCAGCTTTGTTTTAGAATTCTGAATGGCACGGGTTATTTCAGAGTCGCAAATGCACTATTTGTAGAAGCCGCGTTTATGTCAAAGCCGTAATGACCGCACGAGACAACACACACGGACCGCGGAGCAAACATATACATCTTGTAAAGCGGTCGAACATGTTTATGTGCACACATCCGCTCCGGAAATGCAAACGACTGTGTTCCCTTTAAACTAGACCCTTTCTTTAAATTTAATCTGTTACGTAAACTCTCTCTCTCTCTCTCATTTAAATACCTATAATATTCCTAACTTGAATCACACATCTCTCTCCGCTTCCAGCGTCAGATATCATTGTTCTATATATTGGTACAATACGCGCCGGAACGAACTACGGTTGTATTCCTCGTTCCGAAACATAATACGATGCTTAATAAAAGTTTCATAAGCGCGTCTTTCGATACACGTTAAACATGTAAATTTATTTGACAAATGTTCAACGTTGCAAATCAGAAAAATTTCCGGCAGCTTTACATGCCTGAGCAAACATATCCATTTTGTCAAATTAAATCATTTTCTGTGAGAAGAAATTAATTCATCACATCTTTTTATAATTGATTATTTAAATCGTAACTCTTTAAAAACTCTCAAACATATTAAAAAATTTATCTTATTTTATCTCACACAAATAATGGAATTAAACGCACATCTAAAAGGCGTAAAAAAAACTATGAAATTTATAAGATTGTTATGTATTTCTCAAATTAAATTCCGCATCTCAGCTGTTTACAAAGCCATAGTTTACTGTTGGTATACAATCAACAGCAATGTCGAGAATAGGCGCGCAAAGCGACAAAAGGATTTGGTCCTTTGAACGTAACGCTCGCGAAGGAGTTATTGCGCAAACAAAATGAAAAGTCTCTTGTGTGCTCATCTTTTCACGCTTTTAATGCAAAATATTTGCATTCTTGTAATGTTTTCAAACTTCTACATCTTTTAGACTTTTCCTTCGAGAAAATAAATTTTGTGGCACAAAACAAAATTACTTCCGTTCTTACGCGTCGAGACACAATCGTTATCTCTCGGTTTAGAGAGCAAGATGATACTGTTTGCTTTTCCGATATTTCTCAAGAAAAAATAATTTGTCTAATGGAGCATAACGGGAAAGTTTCGCGTAAAATTCTAACGTGAAATATCGCATCAACCTTATTACTCTCATCTGTCGATAGCTATGGGATAAAGCAACACTATATATGGCGCGTCTATTGAGAGGTAATAGAATAATGAACTTTCTTAAGATATATATTGATCAGATGCTTTTTTTGATACCTGTAGAATAATTACATTATTATTGAAAAGTATTCTGTTAAGAAAAATTCATGGAAAAACTAAAAAAAATATTGAAGGACCAGCAGATAGTTTCTGATCAATGCGAGCCAATTTGTTGGATGTACGTGCAAATGTAGTTTTTAAACGTGTAAACTAATAATATACATCGAAATTCAAATTGATTTTAATTCAAAAATTCGCTGACTCTTGTTTGTTTGTTTTTTTCACTCTTCCTAAAAACTATTATGTAGCATAGTCTGAAATATATAAGGGAAACCGTTCTATTGAGTTGGTGGTAGATGCACGAATTATGTTTATTATGTCCATCATTACGTTCAGTATTTCGCTGTATCTCCAAACCGCAGAATGGCTCGGATTGTGGTTGTATAGCTCTGAGCGCTACACACATCATGTACTCTAACACAGTTGATAAACAAATCAAGAGCAAAATTACATACATTCAGAATCGCGCCAGTCCCGAGTCTACACACAATTATTCCTTTGTTACGTAATTTTAGTTATTTTCTGAATACTAGCACAACACAGGCGCACGCTATTGTTATTTTTATTTAACGTGTTGTCAGTGAACACAACCTGTCACCGCGATGACAGATAGTATATACGTCTTATAAACCATATATAATACACATATGAGAAATGTCAGAAAGAACGCATGAAAATCAAACTAAAAAAATAGTGAGAGAGAGAAGTGGAAAAACAACATGTAACTGGGAAAAGAGTAAAAAAGAGAATATTATATATATTATATGTAATATTCTATATTTATATATAATACACACATATACGCATATATGTATATATATATACATACTGTAATCACGTGACCGAAGTCAGTAACACAGCCGCGGTCGCGCGGCCGAGGTCAGTGACCCGCCCAAGGCCGCGTGGCCGAGGTCAGTGACCCCGCCGAAGTCGCGCGGCGGAGGTCAGTGACATTACTGTAGTATGTATATAATACATATAAGACAATATAAAGTCTAATATTATAAATATATAATATATTACATGTATAATATGTATTATTTAATCTTTTCGCTCCGGGACTGGTCCATATATGGACCAGCAAGAAAAGCGAACGTAATAGATGTTTATAAGGTCAATTTAATGCACTAAATTTAGGAAAAAAATTGAAAAAAATCCTGGTTACTTCTTTGACCTTCAAAATTAACTTTGAAGGGGGGGGTAGCAGGTTATTATTAACTTTTTCAGCTAAAATGCGAGGTCAATTTTAAAGGAAAAATCCCCGGAGCGAAAAGGTTAATGTTATATACAATATAAATTACAGTTACGTTATTATCACGTTTTGTTGTTTTTCTACACTTTCCTGTCACGTGACTTTAGTTACGTTTTTAATTTTCTCTACATATACGACGAACTGTCTCAAAATTGCTTTTCATTATTTACTCTCTCGATCTTACCGATTCGATTCGACTCGATCAACCAAACAATCGGCAATGCGGAAAAGAGGCAACAATCAAGATCAATAGAATCGATTCTGATTATTTGCACACGCTTTTTCTGATAGGATTCTGTCAAAGTTCGCACTCTCTTTTGTCATGTAAGATGATGCATATTTCACAGAGAGCGACGCGCATTAAGCGGCGTGTGTCGTATAATGCTTTTTTCACACCAATTATCTCCGACTTGTATTTTATTACAATCGCAAAGTTAATCATCCACGTTTGCTATCAGCAATCTCGTCATGAAAATTGAGTTAACATTTAAATACCGTACATATAATGTCTGTATATTTGGTTCTCTCTCTCTCTCTCTCTCTCTCTCTTGAAACAAATACAGATTACAGTGTAATTAATTCCTTCACTAAAAAAACTGCATTGTATTTACCTGTTCGCGCTGAGCATATAGAAGTGTATTACGTTGTTTGATTTAACCCGCGCTAATGTAAATTTTGCACGTGCTGTTGGGTGCTTTTAATAAACATTAATCCGGATATATTGCAATAATCACATGAGAGAGAGAAAGAGAGAGAGAGAGAGAGAGAGAGAGAGAGAGAGAGAGAGAGAGAGAGAAAGAGGAGGTGTATCGCAATCTCACCTTGCGATACGATATAGGATTGTGCATCCGGCTCATGCGGATCCGGAGCGGGCTGAAATTGCCGGAATACAATTGCGTCACGTTATGCTTCTCGCTATATTCGAGAGAGGATCGTATAACACGTACCAACCCTCAGGTGCCCCCGACACGTTGCGCAATGTGTAGGCGAGACGGTTGATTTAACCTGACAATCGAGCTGCCGCGTTGCGCACACACAGGCCGATGCAAATCTTCCATTTAAAATCATCAGCACGAGAAACATGTTTTCGAAAACAAAACTCGAAAATCAATTCGTCAATCCCAACAGGGAAATGGAAATGAATAAAAGCGGAAAATTTGTTTCGCTTTTTTTTTTTTTATCTTTTAAATTACGTACCTTTCGATCAACGGTACGCGCAATTAACGATCAATTCATTTATCGCTATTTTAATTTGAGTTTACTTCTTTTTCAGAGAGACAAACCTTCGTGAGAGAAGCAGATAGATCCTGTACGTTCCAGAACCTCGCATACTTCGGGCACGAAGAATTGAAAGAGCCAATTTTGTGGAGCGCAACGACTCAATCGTGAGGAGGAAAATCGGAACAAAGCCAATCAGCAGCAGCGGTGTTTCTTCGCAAGGAGAATTGCTCGAATTTAAACGAATGAGAAACGTTAATTATGCTTCGTGTTAAAATCACACGGGACTTAAAAAAAAAAAAAAACGTACGCGACAAGTCGAATCTTTGCGGATAACCGAGTTGTCGACGATCTAACGAAGTGATTGAATCATCGGATTAAGTGTGAAGAAACGTTTTGTTCAAAGAAAAAAAACCGTGAAAGAATGAAGCTTAGACAATCGGTTCCGACCGTTCTTGTTAATGAGCGCGTGATAAGCGCTGCGTAAGCACGCAAAAGAAAGGACAGCTAATATCGAGATGAAACTGGGAGATAATATGACTACGGAAGGTGAGTGGGGCTAAGTATTTTGTCTCCGGAAGTAAGAATAAAAAAGAAAAAAAGAGAGAAAGAGAAAGGAGAATAAAAGTTTAGACTTGTTAATCAATCGGGAGACTTAACAATCACCCACGTGTTCGTTTTTGCGGTTTGCAGAAGAGACGTGATGTTCGTCGAAACGTGCTTTAACTGTCCGACGTGGCATCAGCCACGCTCTTTCTCTTTCTCTCTCTCTCTCTCTCTCTCTCTCTTGATCCAGAACCAACGAGGTCGCGCATTTGTTAGCCGTTAGACACGTAGAAGAGAGCTACTAGTGGAATACACAAGAGGTCAGGCGCTTTGAGAGCGGCAAGACGAACAACATGATTAACTTCAAACTCGACAAACAAAGAAAGTGAAGTCACAATTTATAACTGGAAAAGTTATAAACTTTATATAGGGCTTGCATATTACGTTCATAAAACGTTGCTATGTCCTTTTAAGATCGTCAAGCTAACTGAACCTGACGTGGTTCGAAATTAGATCGGAGAGGAGGAACGTTTTAAAGTGACGCCTTGTCGTATGCTTGCGCTATGAAGCTATAAACTAATTTTGTTTTCAAACTTCTTCTGAATAAGTCATATAGCATATTATTATTGCTCGTGAATATGAATAAAAGCGATTTTATTTATATATCTATATATAATCCCTTTGATATATAATATAGCGAATTATTTTTTTTCAAGAATAACATTTTTATTTAAATTTTTGTACGATTAATTATTAATTAGTCGATGTTTTTAATTAAAAAAAAGTTATTATTCTTTGTTAATTGCTTTTTGATATAATATTAAATTGTCGAACAGTACACAATGTTTTACCGGACGCGATCCATTCTTAATTAAATACACAACAAATAAAATCTGAAATAATTCGGTTATTTCTGATAATTTAAAACAATTTCAAACGTATTATTTTGACCATATGAAGATTCGCGTATAAATACTCTGTATGCTCCGCAGCAAGATTTGACGCAAAAACAAAAAAAAGCTTGTTAACAAAACGAAGATATTAAGAGGCTTCTCTGGGTCAGAAAACGAAAGTAACATGATTGTCGCGAAGCACTATATGTTCTGTTTTCCATTGTTATATGATTAATTCTCGTATTCTTGGAAAGATTACGTATAAAAGAGAAAGAAAATAAAAAATTTTACATTTTAATTTTTTTTATTCTGCATTTATACTTTTCCCGTTGCTGTTTTGACAGAACATATCTCTTCCTACGCACTTTACGTCGTTTTGATAATGTTCGTCGTAAATAGTTATTTTTATCCTTTTGTTATCTAAAGCGCAGGTCGTTGGAGTGCATTATTTTTTTTTCCCCGTTCTCGAGCAATGTTAATCTGCATATGCGTCATAAAGAGTTTTTGTATTGACAACTTTTTTATAAAATATATTTAAAAATTAACTGTCTGACAATATTAGAATTAAATAATTTAATTTTATTAAATAATAAAATAATAAATTTAATTTCATCATGTTCAAATTATCTAAAAAAATATTCTAATATTCCATTTATACGCTGTCGCGAAGCAATGTGTAATAATCGAAAATAAATTAGATTAAATTAAATTTCGAAATTCCGTGTGTGCTCAAGAGATTTGCGAGAGAAAAAAGGCAAAGAGAATGATAGAATAGGGCGAAGGTCGAGGTATCACGACTCTTAATCAAGTCCGTGCTGATTAATGGTTTTCGCTGTCGATTGCAAACAAAGTTGTGTTCTCTGTCTCTACCACTCTTCTCTCTCTCTCTTTCTCTCTAACTCTCCTCTCTTCTTTTCTTACGTTTTCTTTTCTTGATCTGTTATTTCAAATTCAACGACACGTATGATACTGTCGATGATAATTCAATCTATCGTCTTTTCTGTTCACTCGATTTTGCTCGAACGTGCGACGAATTGAAATAGATGACCGTTGACATTCAATATATGTATTATCGATGTTTGTACATAAATGTTACAACAATGTGATACAGTGATATAGTTAAGCATCTAAGAGTACAAACTAAACAATAGTCAACCTTACATATCTAGATAAATGTGCTTACAACTTTGCTCTGTTATATCTATTAGATTTCCCAAAATAGTTTTTTAAATAGTATGTGTTCACGTGTGTTTTAATGTTTTTTTTTCACAAAAATGACGTTTTCATAAAAAAAATAATATATTTGCTTATTGCACTCTTAATTATCTTATCATCAATTTAATTTACGTATTCGAAATTTGTAATATTCGTGTCAATTATTTTGCTTTCAAGAGAAGTTTTCTTTCCGAGTTTGCAACATTTTCTTGAAAGTATAAAAGGCTTCTCGAGTACAGAAAAAGAGGAGAGAGAGGGAGAGAGAGAGAGAGAGAGAGAGAGAAAGAAAGAAAGAGAGAGACAGACAAATAGATAGATAAAGAGTTAGCGAGTGAGTGCTCAAAACTCAGTTGTGATAAAACATTCATTGCGTAATACTCCGTCCTTGAAGCATCTAGAGTATACAATTTAATAGTTTTATCTCCGAGTTTGACTTATATAAAAGTTTGGCCTTACTGAAGGGAAGGTTTAATCTTACCGCAAATACTCGGTAGCCCCGAGACCAAAGGAGCAGTTTGACCGAAGTTTGTGCCCTTTTCTTCCGCATCATTCAAAAGGAATTTCATTAAGTACACCCGGAGTTGTCAAAAAGATTTTAGCACACAGTTACTTCTCGTATAAAAGCTTTCTCCAATATTTTATTACTGTTAATATTTCTTTTTATTAAGTAAAATTAGCGATTCAGTTTCGTTTTGCTCATTTGAATTCGAAATGCAAATTTCTAAAGTAAAATTATGACTGTAAATTCAAATTCGAGAATATAACAAAATGTCGGTTTATGTTATGCACGAAAATTCGCGTGTTTTATTAGAAAACCAATCGATTTTTCCAATTTTTCGAACACTACCTGCAAACACTATGTTTACTTTGGAACAAACAAATTTTAATAAAACCAGCCGTCTGGAAATTCCACACACACAATATAACAGATCAAAAGTAATCAAAAAGTAAATAAATCCAGATTTTTATACACAAAACAAACAGTTCTGAAAATAACAACAAACACATTTACACTGAAATCACACATTTAATATATATTTTGAAGGTTTTATAAACAATCGCAGTTTATCAAACTGTTTTTATATAAATAGAGAATTCACGTACCTATTAAGTTAAATAATGAAAATGTATGTGTGTCTCATTTGCAAATTGAAATGCAATTGCTTTGATTGAAGCAATCTATAAATTTTGTAACATTTCTTGCATCGATCGAAACAACTGCACAAAAAAAGTGTTGCGCATGCGATGCTCATTTGCATTTCTAGTTAAAAAGCGGCAATTTACCGCGCAAATGTACTTTTTGCTCTTTTTCGTTATTTCTTGACCAAGAGTCTCAAGGTCTCATTATACTTAGAGATCTCCGATGTAATTGCAACGAGCAAAGAGCAATTTCGCAAAACGTTTGTAATAATAAATATAAGTAAACACAACGATCACATATTCTTTGTCTGTTCAACAACTTGCGTTGTTCAACCGTCGTTATATCGTGCTCAATTTCATCAATAAAAATGATTAATCAAGAATAGGGTTAGATTATAAGTATGATATCTCGAAAGGAGGTGTAAAATATCGTTTCTTATTGACCCAATTAAAGGAAGAACTGATCGCGCGCGCGGGTTGAGAAGAACGTTAATCATTATTCGCATTGACAATGTACGTTTATTATTGGAACGCGCGCTTGAAAATTTATTCATGCTTATTGTGGCATTATTTACAATTCAAAAATTCACAGCAAAACCAAACTCCGTAGTTTGGTATTCTTTACCATTAAGCAACATCACCGTATCGACATAAATTATTTCCCGGCTTGGCGAAAATAGACGCGCAAATAACGCGCCGATTTTGATTCTTTCGCAGCTTAGTACTCGATTTGTCTTTTACCGTTCCAATCTTCCGACGCATCACTTGGCGCGAGTCAACGTCTGCATTCATCCATCTCGTTTATTCTCTCTGACCTTTATCGATCGTCTCACACAGGCTCGATTTCACGCCAAATGCTCGACACAAAAAAGACAGATCCGAATCAATTATCGTTTTTGATCACTGCGCGCCTCTCTCTCTGACAGTCACGCAGAACTCCATCCCACGCTGTGATTCATATCATGTAATATCTTAATAATCTCTCATTGAGCTTTTCTCGATTTTTTAAACAATTTTTTACTATCCTTCGAGAATGTTCGTGAAAGATTTTACGTAATAACGTTCTTTTCTTGTAAAATAATTCGAGTTTAAACCGCATGACAACCCAACTTCTTCAAGCGAGATACTTGATTATATCGGTAATTACACACAATAAATCGAATAGTGAAAGCCATAATTCTTGCAGAGACCGGACAATTATAGCGACAACGATGACGCTTTACTCTCCCCTGTCTCCCCGTTTCCTCGACTCTCTCGATCAATATCGAGTGTCACCGGAACAAATTTGCCGGCGGAGTTAGCAGGAATTGATTATAACTGGAAAGGAGGATGTGGCCGAGATAATGCGGACGCGCGGAGGATTGACGATCTAACAATTGACTTGTCTCGCGCCTACGAATTGTCAGCTTTATAATAATAATAGATCGCCGGGAATTCGCGCACGCAGAATTTTCTCACTGTCTCCTCTCTGGCATTTGCATTCTCTAATCCGGATTTTCTTGCCTAACTGTTTCCTCCGCGTACTTCGCTCATAAAAAGTCCCGGACACTCTGCAAAAAATCTCACGCGCAAAATAATCCGTTCTTTATTTCTGTCACGTCTGCATCTTGCTTTTATACGTTTCACACAATGCTAGAATTTATATATATTTTTATTTAATAGTTTATTCTCTCGCGCACCAGTTACGTTGAATTTTGATCGTTAAAATCCTTCCTCTTATATTTAAAGTCCGGTAAAAAACAAATCATATGAAATATAATTGCGACTATTTTTATTATGTCGTTTCAGTGATAGAAAATCTGGCGATTAATTTATCCGGCAATAATGTCATAAGTATAATCTCATTAATTTAATAGTCGTTCCGACAAATTTCGTTGTAAATATGTTATTTACGTGTTGCATTTTGACGAAACTGAATTATCGAGTCCTACCAACTAGCAATTAATTACAATCTGATCACGTACGTAACGAAATTTCACGATTCTCCAAGAGCGAGAGCGTTCAATAAAATTAAAATTGATGTAAAGTGATGCGGTTACGTCAAGACCTGAACGTTATCGAATTCTTAGGCAGGCGTGGTTTTATATAAAAAAAAAAAAAACTGCGTTTTTCTTTTGTCAGAAAAAATGCGAGCTACGTCACATGAGAGAAAAACATTATTGAATACGAAATTGTTAGCTGTTTACAAACTTTTATCGTTCCGATCCAAAACAGATAAACGAACTTTTGCAATTAACAGCAAACTCTCGATCGACTTTGAGAGTAATGTTTTTTCTGCAGCAATCGAGATTTTACGTAAACTGATTTACGCATTTCAATAATTACGAAATGCTTTTGCTTTATTTTCTCGTTTATATTACTGTTCAGTGATTGGAGAGAGAAAGAAAAAAAATCAAATTATATGTACTAAAGAGTTTACCTTCTTTTTTTTTTTTTTTTTAATCAAATTGTTTTCTTTAAATAAAATAACCCTACATATAAACGCTTTAATGTATGTGTATAGTTACATTTTCACATTCTGTCTCTACAATTTTGATGGAATATATTTCACAAATATGTACATATATTTCTCTCATTTTTTTCTCAACTGACGAATTTAACGATGCAGTATAATTTTAAATCGAAACGAGCAAATTGGTGAATAGAAATTTCGATAAAATTCAAAACGTTATTTAAATATAAAAAAAGGAAAAATAAAAAGAGAAATTAAATATTTTAATAAAATAACATTTATAACTTGAAGAGAGAAATTACGGCATATCGTGCGGGAAATTAAATCGTCGCATACTCGATCACGCGCCTGCGTAATCGATATTTTACGTAGCGGCTCTCTAAAAATGTAACTTTATAATTAGCAAATATCGTTCGTGCAGCAGAATAAACCTTTACCGTCCGCCGCGTCGCTATGTTCACTGTGTTTTTTCCCTTCTATGATTCTTTCGGTATCACGCCTACTCCCATCTGTGTACGCTCGCTTGTAAAAAGAAAACCTTCACTACCGCGTGAATTTTCATGATTATATCTTTTGTATTTTAATTACTGAAGACTGTTGTGATGTATAAACGTGACAACAAAAAGCAACATGTGCACAATAACGTTATATCTAGAAACTGAACAGCATCTGATAAATAATATCTTTGTTTATATTTTTGTTTATATTTATAAATAATGTCTTTGTTATATTTCACGTATATAACTCTAAAATTGTATTCTTTTATTAAAATATTTGTAATTTTTCAGCTTGCAACGGATGGAGCGACGTTACGCAACGAAAATTTCGACCACCACGAATCGGTGATATTCCGAGGTAAGCGATTCATTTTCTTCTATACAGACTTATGCAAAAAAAAAGCAATAAATAAATTATTTCCGTCAAGTCGAAAAACAAATTACATTATTCTCTAAAATAAAAAACGAACTATAATGCAAGCGACATTTTTGAAAAATTAAAAGAGAGAATATTTTTTGCTTGCTTGTATACTTATATTCGAAAATGTATCTCGAAGTAATTGAAAAAAGTGCAGCGTTTTTTTTTACGCGCAATTTTGCGACAGTCATCGCTGATAACATCGTTATAATTGTAGCCGCTTAATAGCCAATTAAAAAAAGTACTCCCATTTTGAGAACGAAATAATGAAACGCTGACACGTGTACGACACGACGCATTTGCTTACGCAAACGCGACGATATAAATGCAGATGCGTTTTCGAGCGAGCATATGTCCGAAGATGTGTGAATGATATGATGAATGAAACGCGCGTCGTTCTATGACACAAAGAGGTGAGCTGTGTGAGCGGTAATACCCGCCTCTATGGAACCGTGATGCATGTTCCGTAAGATCGACAAACGCGTCTCTCACGGGCCCTCAGAAGCAGATGCATATCGGACAATAGTCTCAATTACTGTCTCGTCGATCAATGTCCGAGGTGCATATTAATTTGTACTTGGCCCAGTTTCATTATTAATGTACTGAGAGTAACTTGATTCTGCAACTTTTGAAAATGTTAATCACACACACACACACACACACATACATACTTAATACTAAACTTAAATACTTAAACTAAGGAAATTTAGTTCTATGATACCTTTCTTTGAAATGACACTTTGTTAATTGCTAACATCATCAAGTTGTAATCCGGATGACAAAGACAAGACAATTTATCTTTTTTACACATTACAATATGTCGAGCGATCCCCCGACCTTCCATATCATTGTCGGCATTTGAATGAGTGAAAAAAAGTTCAAGGAGGATGACTTAAGCCACCGTAATGTATTCCGACATGCGAATAGATATTTTTAACTGCGCAGTCAAAGTCGGATCAATACGAGCTACGACTGCCGAGGTTTTGTGTCTAAATAATTGTATCCTTGTCATCGCTAAGAGAAGCACATCGAGTTCTTTGACATCATCTTTGCATTAAAGATGCATTTCATTCGTTTTACCGAGAAAGTTCCAGATCGTTCTACGCTTCGTTCTAAGTGATCAGATAAAATGGAAGATTTTTCGAAAATACACGACAACGATGTCTCTGTAATGTGCAAGTGGTGCGTGAAAATACCGAGGAAATAAAGGTACTGAATGCACGGAAAATTCAACGATTTAAATCGAGAAAATCTCGTTTTCCTAGAGTCAATAATACCCTTTAAATATTGTTGTTGCAGTATTTACAGAATTAACAAAGAAAAAAAGAAAATAAATATGGGGGAAATTGCGAAAATGGGCGACGCGAGATATTTTAAACTCTCACCGAAACGTCGATCGATGGCCAGGCCATTACTGCTTAAATTATTAAATTTTGCGGGACTATCCGACATATATACGAAAGAGAGATGTCGAGCGCCAGTGCTATCTTCTCTCCTAATGCTATTAGCGAACGCGCAGCGAGCTTGGCGATGATCGGCCAACCCTTTTTACGAAAGACCGTTTCATTTTTTTTCCATTCTGTTTCTCTTTTTTTCTTGCTTAAATTGTTTTTTTGTTACCGTCGCCCTCAGGATATCCGAGGCGCGCGTTTATCTCGACGCGACACACGATGTGCAACAACAATGCGTTGCGCAATTCTTGTCCTCGTGTATTTCTGCGACGACGATGAAGCCTCGATCGCGCGTGGCGTTTCCAACGACACCTGCATTGTCCGAGATAGAACGATCGCGAGAGAGAAAGAGAGAGAGAGAGAGAGAGAAAGAATATAACGTAGTTACGAATCTCGAACAACTATGTCAACGGGATTTTGTCGATGGAAGTTGTGTAGTATTTCTATGGCACTATATATCGCGCACGACTGTCGTAATAGCTGAATTGTTAGCATAGCACTTGCGTTCCGTCAGACCTTCAATATCGGTGGACTACACACACGTGTCACGGAATTGTCCAATCTGAGAAAGAGATTTCCCTGAAATCAGATACTACTGATGCTTGGAGCATATATTCATATAACGAGAAATAATCTAACACTTCTAGTTTATTCCTCTGTTATTTCTGTTTATTCTTCCTTATAAAGATTTTCTGAACAGAAATTTACAAGCAAAATAGTAACCGTATATGTGTCCTTTTCCAGAGATTCTTCGAAAAATATAACGCTGTTCGAAAAAAAGCAAAAACAAAAAAAAAATTAAAAAAACATGTCATTTTACGTTGTAACCAATCTCGACGGTATACGAAGAGGTAGAAGTATATGTCGGGTTAAAAAAAAACTCACATGCGAGAACGGATGGAAAAATAGCAGGAAGCGAGTACGAAAACTGTGCGTGGGGGTTTAACCGCGCGCGGAAAGTCGTCAGACTTTCCCCGCGCTCCGTTGAACTTGCATTGGTTCGCGGGGCTTCCGGTTCGTTGAAGCGTGTTAAAGCGAGCTTTTCACTCACGGATGGGTCGTCCTGCACTTCGACACAAAACTCTATGTACTATATAATATGGGTATCGCGATGTTTTCGATCCGCTGTTTCTCGAACACGTCACCGAAAATAACAGCTCAATGTTGCAATATATCTTCCCGCAACTCCAAAATATCTTTTTCCGATCGGCAAAGTTTTGTGTCCAACAGATCGCACTTTTCTACGTACGTATATACACAAAAGTGTCCATCGGACAATTAATTCATCTATATATACATTATATAGAAATAAAAACAATAACAATTCAAAAATACTCAAGCAAGTTCAACAAACGGAACATTGCTTTGTACACATCAAATGGGCAATCTGCTGCATTCAGCACTCGCAATTTCAATGAAAATGGATGCCAATTGAAATCTGATTCTTTTACTATTTGAATAGATTGAGGTGTGTTATTCTAAGAATACTCTGTAAGCTCTTGTATACAAAATCATCTCATTAGAACGGGTTTAAGAGTTGTAACAAATTCTACTGCGAAATATATTAAAAAGAAAGAAAAACGCGCAATTTGCTGCGAAATAATATTTGCGTAGAGATAAGATTTTTCTCTCTTGCAAAAGAGATGTATTGATTTGTCGTAAAAGTAGCTTTAAGCCAAGAAACTTGCTACGGACCATCCTTTATAAATTCAAATCTTCGTTAAGGATACGCTTCAAAGCTGAATCTGAAGTCACAACTTTATTTGATGCGTATCAAAGGATCGCAAAAAAATTGTGACTATTGTCACCGTAAAAATCTATAACATTCATAATTCGTTTGAGTGCAAAAGAAAACAAACTTCGACGCTTTTAACTTGAAATTATGACAACTTTCAGTATTTAATGTCTATTCTTGGTTATCTCTCTTCTCTCGTTTGCCTTGTACTTCAAGTTTCTATCCTCATTCGGGGGNGGGGGGGGCAAGCGGACACGCTTTCATTACAGAAGTCGCTGCTTGTTGGAAAATGCTGAGAGATTAAATTCTAGAATACCGAGATTTCACACAGACACACATCTTTCTTTCTCTCTTTCTATTAGCAAGTTTTAAGCTGCAAAAAAATTCACAAGACTCTGTTATCACATCTAAATTCGATTGTTTTAATTTTGATGAAACGTTTTCCGAATTAACTCTCTTCAGTCGATTGGCAAGTAAAAGAAAATCGATAAAAATGGAATCGTTAAAGCTGTACCGCTCAAGAGCTTCGTAATAAAATTCTAAACAAATGAATTTTTCTTAAGCTGTAATGTTACAAAGTGGTGACATAAGATGGTCTGCTTGACGGAGCGACTAATTGCGAAGATAGAGACGGAAGCTTGTGGCAATGACGCTAATAATAATCACACGTCATGGATAAGAACTACGATACGGCGTAGTTGCTCAGAAACATCTGGCGTGTTTTGTCAACGCTTATGTTAATGGTCACGGTAAATTAATTAACTTAACTAGCTTTGACTGAAAAAAAGTATCTCTCAAAAGTAGCTTTTGTCTTCAAACGATATAATGTTTAGCGTGTGAAATTTGTGCGCGTATTTGCTTCCAAAAGTAAAAGAAGACGAATATGTTTGCGATTTTTGTAGATAAATTGATTTTTGTAAGAAGAAAATGAAAATTCAGTAACCGTTTTCGGTTGAAAATATTAGAATTTAACCAAGTTATTATTGTGCGAACTGTAAATGGAAGACCGTCTTTTGTATTTGGCCGGGAGACAAATCAAATTTTCTCTGACTTATTATGTACAAAAAAAGTCAAATATTCTCATGATTGTAATTAATGAACTCGATACGTGTTTGGCAAACAGTCTTAAGTATCAAGAATTCAAATGAAATAAGTTCCGCAGTGGCCAACATTATATCTCGGAATAAATTAAGCCAGCTGCGACATAATAGATGTAACAACGGCAGCATTTTCCGTGCGAATTACGTTGGCGAGGCGCCAAGAAGGTCGAAGTTATAAATTATCGTTTTTTTTTCTCCTAGCGGAACTGCAACGGATTCTCCTACATATCGTATCGAAACGCTTTGCTATTCCTCGAGCGTCCTAAAATGATTCTTTCGCAGCTTCCATCGAAGCATCATTGCAATTGAAGTAATTGCATCCGAGTCATCGAGAAGAATTACTAGCGAAAAATATATTCGCGCTTCCGCTTATTTTTCCAGCTGGTATTTCTTTCATTTCGCGTTTTGTGTAGGACTTTTGGGAAAATTGTTCAGAGAAAGAGCGGCCGTAAAAATTCTTTCTGTTTAAGAATAACACTTTCTCTAGCGTTCATCTTGGCTGTGGGTGTGTCCTTTCACCGAGTGTAAAAGTTCAAAGAAATGACATATCTACGTCGTCGAATAAAAGCGTACTGTATTCTCCAAACAGACGGTTTAAGAGAGCTCAGACGCGCTCACCCATACCCATCCGAGCGTATATATCGTATACGTACG